TGAGGAGGGGCCAGGGAGGTGGAGTCACGATGAGCTGGAAGGAGACAGAGACCAGCATCAAGGTACAGAACTGGTTTAAAGTTTATGTTCACTGGCATACATGCATACATTACCCATCCAGCTAAGGTCATATCAAATTACTCTCCAATCAGTTCAAATGACATGCAACCCATGTTATGTGAGGTGTGTGTGTTGGGGGTTGGGAGGCAGTATGTCTAGGCAGTATGCCTGCAACAGCTGATAAACACTTTCAGCAAAGTAGCTGGATACAAAAACCCACAAAAATCAGTAGCCCTCCTATTTACAAAGGACAAGTGGACTGAGAAAGAAATCAGAGAAACAATAGCCTTAAATAATATAAAATATATCAAGCAAGGAAAAGACTTGTATGACAAAAACTTAAAATCTCTGAAGATTTTTTTTTAACATAGTACAAAAGGTCATCCTACCAAAAGCAATTTACAGATTCAGTGCATACAATTCTCTACAGACCCTGAAAGGACAATTCTCAACTTCATCTGGAAAAACTAAAAAATCCTGGATAGCTAAAACAATCCTGAACAATAAAAGAACTGCTGGAGGTATCACCATCCCTGATGTCAAGTTGTACTACAGAGCTATAGTAATAAAAACCACATGGTATTGTCATAAAAACAGACACAATGATCAATGGAATCCAATTGAAGACAAACTCAAATATCTATGGATACCTGAATTTTGATAAAGACGTCAGAAATACACACTGGGGAAAAAACATCATTTTCATCAAATGGTGCTGGTCAAACTGGATATCTGCATGTAGAAGAATCCAAATAGATTCATATCTATCACCCTGCACAAAACTCAAGTCCAAGTAAATCAAAGACCTCAACATAAAACTAGATACTCTGAACCTGATAGAAGAGAAAGTGAGAATTAGCCTGGAATGCCTTGGCATAGGACACGACTTTCTGAACATAACAGCAATAGTGCAGGCACTAAGATCAACAATTAATAAATGGGACCTCATGAAACTGATAAGCTTCTGTAAAGCAAAAGTCACCATCAATCTGACAAAACAGTAACCTAAAGAGTAGGAAATGATTTTTAGTAACTGCACATCTGATAGGACTAATATCCAAAATATATAAAGAACTCAAGAAACTAGATATCAAAAAACCAAATAATCCAATTAAAAATGGGGTATACATCTAAACAGAATTCTCTACGAATAATCTCAAATGGCTGAGAAACAAAGAAATGTTCAACATCCTTAGCCATGAGGGAAATGTAAATCAGATTCCATCTTACACCTATCAGAATGACTAAGATCAATAACAGAAGTGATACCTCATGCTATCGAGGATGTGGGTCAAGCAGAACACTCCTCCATTGCTGGTGGGAATGCAAACTTGCACAGCCACTATGGAAATCAGTATGTTGGTTCCTCAGAAAATTGGGAATCGATCTACCTCAAGACACAGCTATATCTCTCTTGGGCATATACCCATAGGATATTTGATCCTACTACAAAGACACTTGCTCAACTACAAGGACATTTGCTCAAATATGTCCATTACAATTTTATTCGTAATAGACAGAAACTGGAAAAAAACCTAGATGTCTCAACTAAAGAATGGATAAAGAAAATGTGGTACATTACACAATGGAGTATTTATTCAGTGGTTAAGAAAAAGTGACATCAACAAATTTGCAGGCAAATGGATGAACTAGAAAGAAACAAAACAAAACATGCTGAGATAACCCAGAAAGACAAATACGTTTGTTGCCTTGTCCAGTCATCGTCAGAGAGACTTCCTCTGGCAGCAAATGGGAACAGATACAGAGAGCCACAACCAGACATGTGGAGTCTAAATTGGGAGCCTCTATTAGGTCCCTCTCCTCAGAGCATGGGGAGTCCCAAGGAAGAGGAGATGGAAAGATTGTAGGAACCAGAGGGGATGGAGGGATGCCAGGAGTACATGGCTGGCTGAGTCAACTACGCAGGCTGCATTTGTCTCAGAGACTGAAGCAGCAAGCACGGAGCCTGCAGTGGTCTGCACGAGGTCCTCTGCACGTATGCTATGGCTGTTAGCTTGGTGTTTGTGTGGAGCTCCTGACTGTGGGAGCAAGTGTGTCTCTGACTCTTCTGTCTGCTCTTGGGACTCTCTTCCTCCTGCTGGGCTGCTTTGTCTAGCTTTGGTATGAGGGTTTTTACCTTGTCTTGCTGTATTTTGTTTTGTAGTCTTTGGTTGTTGTCTCTTGGAGGCTTGCTCTTTTCTGAAAGGAGTCAAGGAGGGGTGGAACTGGTGAAGAGGAGAGATGGAGAGTAGTGGAGATAGGGGAAACTCATTCAGTATATTGTATGTGAGAAGAATATTTTCAAGAAAAATAAAAAATTTATAGCAGTAAAGTCCATTCTGGAATGAATTTTCACAAATGCATATATTTACCGACTCTGCCAGTACTGAGTGCAACCTTCCATTTCATCCTTCTGCAGTCACCCATTCCTCTCCCCCTGATCTTAGGGTATTCATCTCCTCAAGTGTTAACTCTCCTCAAGAGCTCTGCTTTTCCTCCCGTGTCATATAGATGGTACTATTCAATAGGCTTCCTTCTGGTTAGTTTTACTCAGCAGAAATGTGGGTACTGTACTGCACACATTTGCATGAGGAAGTTGATGATGTCATTTTAGTTTGACTATGATAGCATTAAATGATCTTATTTACTGACTTATGTATGTTCGGTTCCCTCCGCCCCCATAGGAGAGACAGAATTGGGGAGAGGGGAGTCTTACTATGTAGCCTTGGCTGGCCTGGAACTGGCTATGGAGACCAAGGTGGCCTTGAACTTACAGAGATCTGCTTGCCTCTGCCTCTAGAGTACTAGGATTAAAGGCACGTGTCACCACACTGGGCTTTTTTTCTAGTTTCTGATGATTGCAAATGGAATTGCTATAAATAGGGTAGGTTTTTGTGGGAATACAAGTTGCTAATTCACTTGGTTAAATACCAGTATGATCCATATGATTCCAACAAATTGTCTTCCAACAGTTACACCATTTTATATTCCCACTATAAAGAAGTAAGTGTCTCTGTTGACTGAAATCTTGGCATCTGGTACTGTTAATGCTTTAATTTTTAGTAAACCTAATAGATATATAGCAATACCTCAATATGGCTTTAGTTTTTACTCTCTCATCGTTATAATCATCATGTGTGTGGGGGGGGCAGTCTGCATGCAGCAGTCAGGAGTCAGGCTCTCCTTCCACCTTATTGAGGCAAGTTTTCTCAGGTGGCTTCTGCAACTTTGGGACATCAGGCGAGGTGGCTCATGAGCTTCTGGATAGTTCTCTGCTTCCCCCTGCACCATCAGGAGTGGTATAATTAAAGATGAGAGACACTACTTCAGGTTTTTTGTGGGTTCCTAGAATTGACTTCAGTCATCAGGCTTGTGTGGCAAGCATTTTTATTGGTTGTGCCAGCTCAATAAGCCCTTCATCCTTTAATTATGCATGATGTCAATCTCTCCATATCTCTGTCATGCATGTACTTTCTTGGTTGAAGTTTCTGTTAAGATCTTTTGATGCTACTTTAATTTGATCATTTTTAATAGTATTTCTTTTTTCTTTTTTTTGTTTGTTTTTGTTTTTGTTTTTTTTTGAGACAGGGTTTCTCTGTGTAGCTTTGTGCCTTTCCTGGGACTCACTTGGTAGCCCAGGCTGGCCTTGAACTCACAGAGATCCGCCTGGCTCTGCCTCCTGAGTGCTGGGATTAAAGACATGCGCCACCACCGCCCGGCTTATTTTTTCATTAAAAAATTTATTTATTTATTCATTCATTCATTCATTCATTCATTCATTCATTCATCATTTATTTATTTATTTTTTCATTAAAAAATTATTTATTTATTCATTCATTCATTTATTATTTATTTATTTATTTATTTATTTATTTATTTATTTATTTAATGCACATTGGTGTTTTGTGTTGGGTGTCAGGTCCCCTGAAACTGGAGTTACAGATAGGTAGGAGCTGCCATGTAGGTATTGGGAATTGAACCTGGGTCCTCTGAATGAGAGTCAGTGCTTTTAACCCCTGAGCCATCTCTCCAGTCCTTTTTTTTTACATTTTTAATTAAAATATTATCACATCACTACCTTCCCTCCTTTTCCTCCCTCTAGCCCGTCCCCTCCCACTCTCAAATTGAGTTTTTTTCCTTTATTGCTACATATATATATGTATATACACACAAATATATAAATACAACTTGCTGAGTCTGTTTTTATTTTTGTGTATATATGGTTTCAGAGCTGATCATTCACATTGGATAATCAGTCAGAGGTTTATACCTGGAAGAGGCTAATTCTCCCTCTCTCAGAAATCATTAGTTGTCTGTAGTTCTTTGTCAAGGGATAGGACCTGTGAAACTTTTCTCTTTCCATTTTAGCGTCTGTATTGCTGTTATCATTATTCAGGTCTTGTTATACAGCCATTTCTAAGAGAGGCAGACTTTCTGATATTCTGGCCTTTGTCTTTGTTTCTGATACAAAGTTTCTCTATATAACAATCCTGGCTGTCCTGGAACTCGCTCTATAGACCAGGCTGGCCTTGAAATCACAGAGATCCGCTTGCCTCTGACTCCTGAGTGGTGGGATTAAAGGTGTGCACCACCATCACCCAGCTGATATTCTGGCTCTTAAAATCTTTCCACCCCCTCTTCCATGATGTTTCCTGAGCCACAGATGCAGGAGCTATGATGTACATGTATCCATTGGGGCTAGGCTTCCCACAATTCATTGATCTTTGCATTGCATCCAGTTGTGGCTTTCTGTAACGGTCTCCAGTTACAATAATGAGACACTTCTTTGACAAAGGTTATAGCTACACTTATCTGTGGGTATAAGGGTAAGAATTAAGAATGTAGATAAGAATTATGCTGGTCTAGAAAACTGGCAGTAGTAGATTCTCTTCTAAGATCCATGACTTCACAATGCCCAGGGAGTTGGCTAGCACAAAAATTAGCTCCAAGTGGACCAAACCTCAATGTGAAACCTGAAATGCTAAAACTGCTAGAAAAAAAAAAAAACACAGGCAGCACCCTATAAGATATCAGTGTAAAAAAGGACTTTGTGAATAGGACTCCATCTGCCCAGGAATTAAAGCTGAGTTAGCTACTGGTACCTAATGAACTAAAAACACTTCTGTATAGCTATCAACTGAGTGAAGAAGAAACCTACAGAATGGGAGTTCTACAGTAAGTCTGTTTTTTTGTTTTTATTTTATTTATTTATTTATTTATCTCTATTTATTTATTTTGCTTCTAGAAACTATGGTGATTGATGACTCACAGTTCTCTCCATTTGTCTTAAAGCTAGCAACACAGAGACTGAGTGGTCCCAATGCTGCTTCCATCTGCCTTCCTCTTCTATAGCACCAATCCACTTGTAAGAACCCACATGGTTATACTGGGGGCACACAGGTAATCCCTCTAGTCCATAGTTCATTTTTCAATCTTTAATTCCATCTGAAATGTAGATGAAGTAACACATTCACAGGGTAAAGCAATAAGGAGGTAGATGTGTTTGGAAATAGACATTATTCTGTCCATCATCGTATTTACTGTCAGTTCCTAAGAGGTCTTTGGATATTCTCGACATAAGTTCTTTGTTAGATTACTCTCTCCCATTCTGTAACTGTCTTGGCATTCTTATAACATTGTCTTGTTCATAGCAATAGTTTAAAGTTTAAAGTAAGTCTAATTTCTAGTTGCTTTTAGTGGACTATGCTAAAGTGTCTATTTTAAACATGGATCACCTAGCCGAAACTTTGGGTATATTTCTCCTCCATTCTCTTCTGGCAACATTATAGGTTTATGTTGTACATTCCAGACCTGTGATCCACTATGAGTTAACTGTTCCAGATGTTGTCTGACACATATCAAAGTTCTTTTTCGCCTTTTTATTCAAATGTTTATTGAAAAGATAATTCTTTTTCTATTGAACTTTTAAAAAATAACTGCTAAACACTATTGCTAAATGTGTTTTTTAATTTGTATTGTGTGTGTGTGTGAGTTCAGGTGCCTGAGGAGGCGAGAGATCCCTCTGAAGCTGGAGTTACAGGTGGCTGTGAGATACATAATGTGCGTTCTGGGAACTGCACAAAAGGCCTTTGTAAGAGATCAGTGTGTACTGTTAGTCAATGGGCCACCTTCCCAACCCCAACAGACTCTTTGTGTCTCTGCATGTGTCTTCCTTCTAGCCCGTGCTGCTCTGGTTGACATGTAGCTCTATGGTGAGCCTCAACAAGACAATGTGACTTCTCAGCCTGTTCCTCTTTTAAAAAGTTAAATATTTTTCTGAATTTTCATGTTTGCCTTTCAAACATTTGCTTTTCAGAATGAAATTGTCAATTACTAAAAAAAACTGCTGAGATTTTTAGTATGACTGCACTGAATATACAGGTCAGACTGAGGTGAATTGACAAAAACAGAAAATTGTACTCATGTTTAGTGAAACACAAAAGTAAGATTGTCTCAATTACTAGACATATAGAATATAAAGATGATAAAAAATATCCAAAGTCTAGGAAAACACTACATACATGTGGTTTGGTGGTAAGGTTCAAACCAGTTCTATCATTTTGCAAGGCAATCAATAATACATATGAAATAGTTTACATTTTTTCTTTTACCCAGAGAGTTAATTTCTAGGAATTATTAGGAAAGAAATGTCTCTGATTCTTTATTGTGGTATTAAGTGCAAGTCTTATAAAATTTGTCTTTCTGAGTCTGGGTTACCTCACTCAGGATGATTTTTTCTAGATCCATCCATTTGCCTACAAACCTCATGATGTCATTGTTTTTCTCTGCTGAGTAGTATTCCATTGTGTATATGTGCCACAATTTATTTATCCATTCTTCAGTTGAAGGGCATCTAG